TTTTTTTCGCAGCGACTATTTTCACACTGCGAATCGCTGCAGTTTGGATCGAGGATTTTCGGTTCGAAAGTTCTCAGAATTACCTGTAGAATTACCAGAATGCGCCGCAGGGTATGTTAAAAGCTCTCTATTATTGTCAGTGCAGTAGTAGTGACAGTAGTAGTAGGTAAGTATAGATTAGTGCACCGGGGAATATGTGTTGATGAGAAGTAAAAGGTGGGGAGGGGGGTAATCAAAAGAGAGAAAGAGAAAGAGAATAAATGATGATGAAAAAGTTATATCAAGGAAAAGGAGTAAAAAGAAAAATAGAAATTCAAGATATGGAAATGAAGAAAAAAAGTAAAAACTTTAGTAGCCGGAAATTGCAACCGCCTGCTGCTGCTGCTGCTTCCTCGGATTGAAGAGCTTCAGCTGGCGCTTACCGGCGGCGCTGAAGCGCGTCATGCGGAGGTCGCCCATGTTGAGGCGGGCCTCGTCGCCCTCGCCGCCCAGCGACTCCTCAATGATGGGGAAGAGGATCTTCGCGTAGGGACAGTAGGAGATGGTGTGAGCATTCTCCCCGGTCTCGGCGCAGATCTTGCAGACCAGCGAGCGGAGGACCGGGCACTGGGTGGTGCCGTCGTNCCTCGCCGCCCAGCGACTCCTCGATGATGGGGAAGAGGATCTTCGCGTAGGGACAGTAGGAGATGGTGTGCGCATTCTCCCCGGTCTCGGCGCAGATCTTGCAGACCAGCGAGCGGAGGACCGGGCACTGGGTGGTGCCGTCGTCGTTGTGCAGGCGGTGCGAGCTGTAGCTGGCCACCGGCTCGCCGTTCTTACGGCAGAAGTTGCAGCGCATCGGCGGCGAAATGGCAGCAGCAGCCTTCTTCTTCAGCATCAGATCATCATGATCACCGCCGAAGTTGCCGAAAAGAGGAGGAGGAGAAGAAGATGGCGAGGATGAAGCAGAGGAGGAAGGGCAGGAGGAAAAGGATGACATGGACGAAAGTGTGGTGAAAGACAGTGCTGGTGAAATAGAACCACCACAAGTCGACGAAAATGGCGAGTAGGAGGGGGAGAAAGAGGAAGTGGAGCTCAGAGCTTCGACAGCGACCTCATTCTTCTTCTTCTCCTCGCCGGGGTTGCTACCCTTGATGTCCTTGTCCTGGTTGTCCTTGTTGTCCTCGTTCTGGTTGTCCTTGTTGTCCTCGTTCTGGTTGTCCACCGCCATCTTGCTCACCGGCTGTACAGCAGCAGCAAAAGAAGGAGGTGGAGTGCTGCGGGTGCGAGTGGTCATCTGCTGAATGCCAAAGCTGGGCATGAGGATGCGAGTGGCCGGAGGGCAGAAGGCGGCCGGCAGCGAGGAGGTGCAAGTCGAAAATGCTTTCGGCGGCGGCGACGGCGGCAGAAGCAGAACAGGCTTGGAAACCTTCTTCAGAGCAGGAGGAGGGCTGCCGCCATTGCTGCTGCTGCTGCTACTGATCGGTCGCAGTACGTACTGGCCGGGGGCGAAATCGCCGGTGCCGTTGATGAAGCGCATGATGAGGCGGTGGTGATTTGGTTGCAAAAAAGAAGGTATGATGAGCTCTCGGTGGTAATGAGGATGGTGATGGTGATGGTGATGAGAGCGTTCCGCACGTCTTTCGTCAAGTTCTGTCGCGGCGGATCTGACGATCATAGCAGGCCTTCTTATAGAGAGAGAACTGCGATAACTGCGTCACAACTCACAGTTCAATCGGAAAGCGAAAATTGATCTAGGGTTCAAGTGGCAGCCAGAGAACGCAGCCGCTGGGCCGTGCAGTGCGCCCCGCACACTCATCGCGCGACATTTGCTGCTTCTGCTGTTCGCCGCACGCGCGAGCGTTTGGCGCTGCCGTCAAAGAAGCGGAAAAAAAGGAAGCCCCAACAAAGAAACAAACAAAGCTTCGAGAAACACGTAGAACTCGTAAAGCTTTTAGTAAAACGTAAGAAAGGGTAAGCGGGGGGCAAACTCAGGAGTTATTGCAACAAAAAGGAGGAAGAAGAAGAAAAAGAACTGTTTCTCGGTGTGTGTGTGTCAAAAAGAAGGTAGTAGAAAACGGGCAAAGATAGAATGGGGAGTTGGCTGCTGTTGGCAACAAGGAGAAAAGACGTGAAAAGGAAAATAGTAGACAGCGTGTTAGTGAGCCTCTCTCTCTATTTCAGCCAAAGTTCGGCAGCTTGGCCACCTTCGTCTCGATCTCCTCAATCAGCTTGTCAATGTTGCCATTCTTGCCCTTGTACTTGCCCAGGTCGGGGCCAAGCATCTTGATCAGCGCCGGTACGTCCGTGGCGCTGATGGCGATGAAGCGGGAGATGACCGTCAGGCAGAGGAGGGCTAAAGAAGAAGAGGAAGGAAAATCGGTTAGCCAAATCAAACCAGCACAATCCAGTCCAATCACAATCTTACCCTGATCCTCGGGCACGTCACTGTGAAGGTACTGGAGGACGGCGGTGGAGAGCTCAATGGCCACGTCCTCAAAGACCTCCTTCAGCGAGAGGTTGTAGATGAGGTAGATGCCGTTGCGCTGCAGCGTCGTCAGCTGCTCATTGAGGAGGGTGTGCACGGCCGCCCGGACCGTCACCCTCGAGTTGCTCGAGCCCTGTCCGTCCGCCTCGGCCCACTCGCTGATGTAGAGCAGCCAGTCGAAGGTGGAGGGGCCGGCGCAGAGGTTGCACAGCAGCTTGACGATCTCCTCCTGTTCGGCCAGCGTCAGCGACTCGATCCGGTTGATGTAGCTCATCAGGCGGTGGTCCTTCCGGTCCTGGTGGAGGATGAGGACGACGTCCTCCTTCAGCGCCGCCGCCTGCAGCACCTCCAGCGTGAGGAGGGTGACGTTGGGGGCGAACTTGCCGTCGCCTCCGCTGATAAGATAAGGAAGTTAAAGTTGGGTGTAAATAGAAATAGAAATGAAATGAGTACCTGAGAAGGTAAACAATGAGCTCAATGTGCTCCTCGCCGATGGCCCAGGCGCCCGCCTCCGACTGCAGATAGGTGCCCAGCTCCTTCAGGTACTCCTGCTGCTGGGGATTGAGCAGCGTCACCACCATCTCCTCCACCTTCTGCAGGGCGGCCGTGCCCTGGAGATAACAAAAAGATAGAAGTTACAATCAAGTTTAGAAAACTGGGCGAAACGGAGATCAACTGATCACTTACATCAACATCGCGAAAAATGATGGGCGGATCGTCGTACTTGTAGGAACGACGAGCCGGCAGCGTTGGCACGTACTCCTTCTCCTCCTCCTCTTCGCCGGCTCCTTCGGCGGCTGGGGCCGGTGTCTGTTGCTCGGCCTCGGCCATGCTCGCTGAGTCGGGGGTGATTTGGCGTTTGTGTGGCTGTTCCGGGTTCTCACTGCTGCTGCTGCTTTCACTGCTGACGCTGGTCTCCTTCTTTGGTTCAGGAGATGATGAAGTTGGTGGTTTTTCTGGCTGTTCCGGAGGAAGTGCTGGCAAAGAGTTATGAGCAGTCAACTGGGCCTGGTTGAAGGAGACCCCGGTGCCGGGCTGCGGGCGAATGTGGTCAAAGGCGGAGCCGAACAGTTGCCGAAGCGTCTGTCCTATCGGTCTGAGAGCGGTGAAGAGTGAGGAAAAGAAGTGGTGAGCTTAGGTAAGAGAAGAAACAAGAATCGAGAATTGCTTTCAGCAAAACTTGTTGCTGCAAGAGTTCGCTGTGTGTTGGCGCATGAACACGGAAAAGGGACGACGACGGCGGCGACGAAGACGAAGCGCATTGGACAGTTTCCAAACTTGGAAAGTGAACCGCTGCTGATTCGGTTGCCGATGCTGCTGCTGCCGCCGCCGATGCTCTAAATATAAACGGAATGTGCTTGCAATACACTCCCTCCCTCCCTCCCTCACTTCAACGGGAAACACATTACGTAACTGAATGAACGAGCGGGGCACTCATCACTCCCTTTCCCGAGCAGAGAAGAAGTAAACATGTCACTGCGTTCCCCCTCCTCGGTTACATTGCCTGCCTCTTCCTCCTCCTCCTCTTCTACATCTTCTTTAGTTTCACCGTTCTCTCTTTGCTCTCTGTTGGAAGTTTAAATAAATACTCATCGATACAGGAGAATCTCAACAGCAGTACACCATCGAGGTACAGAGTTCTGTGAAAAAATTCTACATAGAATCTACAGGCAGTTGTCGAAAGTATACTTGTTTCCATCTAATAAATCTTGACTTTACAAATTCCCGAGCTGTTGATGGTTTCTATCTGGGCAGAATTAGCAGAGCATCGGTAGTAGTAGAATACTGCGCCTAAAATGTTTGTGTGTGTGTGTGCGGGGCTATAAATAAACAGACGCACTGGTAGAGGTACTCCCGTGGTAGTAGTGTGCACCCAAACGGTACAAAACAGCGAAAATTCAAAAACGGGAGAGAGAGAAAATAAAAACAGTTCAAAAGTGCGACAAGAAGCAACACTCACTCTCACTAACGAGCCAGTCACGTAATCCATTTTTGTTTGCTAACTGATTTTTCTAGCTGGCTTTTTGAAGAAAAAGAGAGCGACTTACGTGGAGAGAACTTCTCCGGGCAGATCGAGAATCTCCCTCGGTATTTCCCGGCCGGTGAGAAAGTTTGCCAGCTCATTGGAGAAGTTGTTGCAGTTGTGCCCGAAAAGGTCGTAGTGATGCGGACTGAGAGGTAGAAGAAGTTGAAGTTGAAGATGAGTTGAAGAACAAACACAAAAGAAGTTTAACAACAAAAACTTACGCAAAAGTGAACTCACTCAGCGAAGAGATGTACTCGAGGAAGAGACTGTAGGGCACTTGCGTCCGCCCCAGGGGAAGAATCTGATCCGGTTCGCCGAGGTTTGTGGCGCCCTGCAAAGCAAATACACGAAACTTTATTTTTGTTCTTCGATAACTTCAACTCATCTCCCGAACTTACCACCGGACAGCTGACCACTCCCATGCCGCCGAAGAAGTACTCGCGATCGTAGGCGATGACGGCAGTGTGCCAGATGCCGGGCAGCTCTTTGCCTGTCAAAAAGAAGAAAGTTGGTGATAAACAAAGTACCGGAAAAAAGAGAGATCACTTACCGATGATCATAGCGGAAAAGGCCCGGGCCATGCCCTTGGACATGTCGTAGATGTGCAGGTGGACCTCGATTCCATGTTCCTCCGACATCTTCAGTTCAATTCTTCACTTGATGGTTCAGTAGTTGAGCGGTGTGGAACAGCAGCTGCTTGCAGATGATAAAATGCCAAACAAGCAAAAAGCAGTGACTCAGCAGAAGTCAAATTGTTGTGCTGCTGCTGATGAGTTCTTTTTTCGAAATAAAAAAAGGTTGTCCGATGTGAGCAATTTGGAGTTTAAATACAGTTGAAGTTTGTTGTTCCGCTGCTGCTGATATCTCCCGTCTTCTTTTCAAACTCATTGCGTTAGGCGCTCAATTTTTGCAACCTCATCTCCTTGAGCTAACAGAGAGAAAAAGTACTCAAACTCCTCCTTCATGTCGTGTTACGTAGACAATCACACACTTCTCTTTCCTTCTCTATCTTGGCCTTCAGTGTACGGTAGTGGCGGCAGTTGGCCAGTCACTCGATGGTCAGAAGTGTAACGAAGATAAACACCGTGAACAGTAAATTTACCAGAGCTGCTGTCGCTGTCGAGGAACATCATGATCACATAATGACAACATTAATCGTTCTCGCACTAACCAAGAAGTGTTGGGACTGCTCTTTGAGCCGGAGCAGAGCCGAGTTTCTCACAACACAGAAGGAGTTAAAAGGGAGGAAGGAGGAGGGAGTTTCTAAAAATACCAGAGCAATTTCAAGAATGCCCGAATGTGTGAGAGAATAGCATCATCATAACAAAAGAAGAAGGTGATGCGGCTCAGTTGCGTCAGAGCATGATTGTGTGTTCTACAACAGCTGAAGCACACGTAAGCCGCCGATGCTGTTGTGTTGTTTACATCGACCAGGCACTGTCACAGTGCGGTACACTCTTTTTGAACACACTGATCAGCTGCTGCTGACTGACACTGGGCGAACTCTTCTCTGATTTCAGAGAACGAGAGAGCGTTTTGTTGTTTTATTTTATTGTCTTGTACTTTATTTACTGGTAGCTAAACACCTTTCTACTGCTCATTACCGAAAAGTAGAACCTGCTTCCAAATGAACGAGCTTCCCAAGGAGACGGCCTTCCAGCCGGCGCCGTACATCGCCCTGGTCGGCCTGGACGCGGCCAACAACGCCGCCCACACCGCAATCTGGAACGCCTTTGCCATCAACCGGGCGGTCGACCGTCCGCAGCTCTACTACAAACTGCTGCCCGCCGACTACGTCTTCCCGGTGGCGAAGGCAAAGGTAAGCTGAAGATGATAAGGTTGATAAGCTCTAACCTAATTTCGAAACCCAACGAATAGAAATCCTACGAGCGGTACATTCCCAGCGGCATCATCAAGACCGGCTGGCTGGCGAAGCACCTCTTTGAGATTCCCTCCGTGGCGGTGGTTTTCGAGGAGGTGCCCAGCCTGGAGGCACTGGCCGCCCAGGCGAGTGACGTCCGACTAAGGTGCATTGAACGGGTGAACCACGTCCGCAACTCACTTGCCGGTCGTCAGACGAGAATCGTCCTCATCATCCTTCTTCAGCAGGCGAATATGGTGGCCCCACTGATGGGTTAGTACCCAAAAGATTGAATAAAATAGAGAAAGTTTTACCATCTTTTTGTTGCAGATGACTCAGCGCAGAAGGAGATCATCGCCCGTCTGTGCACCGACTGCGACCTCCACGTCAAGTCACTCTACACCATATCAACTGCTGAAGTGCACCTCATTCCCGGACTAGTGCAAAGGTATTGGGTGTGGTATTTTCTTTTGACCATCGTATCTAACATTTTTCCAATTCAGAATGGAGCAGGTGATCCTCGAGCTGGCCAAGGGCTACTACCTGGCGCAGGCCAAGTCGGTGAAGGCGCACAAGGACCAGCTGAACAAGTCCTCGCAGCTCTACCTCAGCATTCGCCACGAGTTTAAGCTCGCCTTCTTCAATGAGATCCGCCTCATCAACAACACCGCCCTAGGGTAGGCATCCTTTTAAAGTTCTCTTAGACTTCCTCCAAAGACCAAACTACTAAATCCACGCTTCCTTGCAGGCACTACAAAAACGCCTACGCCTCGCTGATGGAAATCCGCCCCAGCCCGCTGAACCTCTTTGAGGTGAAGAGCATCGCCAGCCTGCTGAACTACAAGATCTGCCGCCTCGCCTTCTACTTGAACATTCCCATGGACGCCATTTCGCACTTTCGCAAGCACATTGAGATCTTCCAGAATCGGCCACCGCCCCCTTCGGTCGCCGCTTCAATTGAATTCGAGCACCACGGCTGGCTCTCCGACCAGTTTCTCGTCTTTGCGGAGCTCTTTGAGCTAGCCATCAGCACCTTCAGCCTGGCGCCCAGCAGTAGCCAGCACCCGGGCGTCTACTTCTTTGACGCCTCGACGCATATGCTCGAGCGGCGGAGGGCCGCTGCCCAGGTCATAAACCGGGAGGAAATGTTGAGGGGCGTCTCCCCGGAGGAGGCGGCCATTCTCGGCGCCATTGTCAACTGCGAGGCGAGGGAGTTTATCGGCCAGTTCTCCTTCAGACATGATCTTCCAGGTAGGGCTTTTTTTGGAAACTTTTACAGTTGAAAATACGATCAACTTTTTTCCCTCTTTTTCAGAAGCGGATCGCATCAAGCTCGCCTACCGGGCACTGCAATATCGAGAGCTGAGTGTCGATCATACGGTAAGGAGAGCTTTATTGCTTAAGCTTTTAACATTGGTACCCTTTTCCAGGCACTCCTCATCAGCCTGTACGT